TTAGAATTTTGATGTCGCCAACTGCAGTTATGTCTAGTACTGACTGAAGTTGTCTGTCGAATTCTTCCTTCTTCTCTTCATCTGCATTATTTGTTGGCGTGTAGTATTGAATGACTGCGATATTCCTTCCTTTTGGTTTGAATCTTGCTGTCATGATCCTGCTGGAGGAGACTGCTTCCCACTGCATGAGAGACCCTTCGATGCTGTTGGGGACATCATGATAGTCACTCCAAAACTTGGTGTACTGTGCTCGTGATTGTCGTCTGGGTGACAATATCGGAGTAGATTATTGATTCTCCACTTGACAGTTTGGAGAGTCCACTCCCATTCCATCTGCTTTCGCAAATTCCAAGCACTTCAATGTGATACCTTCTCATCTCCTTTGCAATCTGGGCAGCCTTGCTAGGTTCAAACATGGTGCAGACTTTCCATGTCCCCATCCTTACTTCTGCTTTCATCAAAAGAATACACATCGGCCGACTGGCTTACCGAAGGCTTTCACCAACTGGCGTCATTTCATCTCTCCGATTCCAGAGAGGAATAAGTTAGTTTTTATGTTTTATATTTTCTTTGTGATTGAAGTTTTTTTTAGCGATTGGACTGATTTTTCGGGGTAGGACTGCTAGCCCTATGCCCAACCTTCCCTCTTAACCCGGGCTTAGGACCGGGTAGTAACTAGTGAACTATCTAACTTGGCGAGGTTTTCCTACTTTATGACCAACTTTCATTACATATTCAAGGAGTCCGCTGTTTCTTGTATGTATTGCTTATCTCGACCTTTTTGGTTGGTCTGAGTGAATTTTCTAGTCCAGTTTGCTAGTAACTAGTTAACTAGGCGAGGTTCCACCTCACAATGGTCATCCCTGTATACTGAAGTGTATCGGTGGGTTCACTCGTTGCCGAAACAATCACTCGAGCTTGCCCTAAAAGATGGGTTTCACAGTTTGGATAGCTTCTACTGTGACAACCGACTCACAGTAATAATTTTAATCATTTAAGTAGCTGTTGGGATGAAAACGCATTTAAACTACTGCGTATGGTCCAGCTTCCAATGGTTTACTGGGGGCGCTTCCATCGTTGTCTTGAGGCCTTTCTAAAGGCAGTCAACAACGTGGAAGGGATTGGATATCTGCGACTTATACTGCTCAGCAACCTCTCCATACTTGAAACGAAATTGCAATGCACTCCTGATGAGTTGTTTTGCAGAATGCATTTTCCAAGTGAACTGTTGCGAACCAAGTCCCACTGCTATCAGTGGTTATGCTCAGGATCTTAGGCTTCAAATGCACTATCTTCAACTACCATTCACACGAATACAGTATGGACGAATACAGCTGGATAAAAAGATTGCAAACATGCCTTTGTGTGTTCCAAGGCCGTACGGAAACCCTTACATACACTCTTTGACAGACCTTCTAAGGTTTTCAGAAGAAGGGGAAGAACTCATTGTCATTGACAGATTAGGACAACAAGACACCATAACTGTCGACCCCCTGAAGGCAGCTTATGTTGATAACGATCCAACACTACCTCAATTAGCAGCTTCACCAAAACCTTTGCTTCAAGAAAAAAAAGACACTACGGTTCAAGAAGGTCATGACTCCTAAGGCAAGACCACTGGTAGTAGTGACAAGGTACTATCTATAAGTATCAGTCGACGTGCTCACTGGTTCAAATGGTCAACAGATTTCATCACTCAGTCATCTAAGAATCTAATACCTGGGCAACATTTTTAATTTTATTTCTTGTTAATATTACCTAAAAGTCCTATCCATGTGTGCTTTTCTTCACAAAACTTTAAAAAAACTAAAATGATAAAAATTCAAAAGGCATAGTACTTTGGCACCTACCTTTCTTCTTATAACTTTGTGAATCACTGCAGTTTTGTGAACCTTTTATAATCTTACCTTTATCCTTTTTAAACTGTTTTTTGCATTACAGATCAGTCAAAATGCGAACTATCGGGTACAAGATGAACAAGGGCAATACGAATTGGATTATTCTCCTGTTTCTTGTACTAACTGCCTTTTAGCTTAAGGTTCACCAGGGAAATATAGACGAGGGCTTCGAGTCACTTACCATCACTGCAAGAAGGGTTGTGTTCAAATGCAAAGTTCTGTTTACACATAGGTGTGAGTACCTGCACTAACTTCGAAGACCTATATGCCACCCAAGCCATCTCCCCTATTGATAAGTGTTGCAAGTTCCACTTGTAGTTACCTTCTACAACCGAAGGTTGCTGAGATCTTAACAACTTTTTAGGAAAGGGATAACCTGTAATGCACCTATCGGCACCATATACTTCTGGATTTAAAATATATTCAAACCTTAATGTTGGCTAAATAATCCCCTGCGGCATCAGCGGGTGTCTCTATTTTTTTAAACGTGTAGGCACCTACTCATGAAGAATTGGCCGTTTTCGCGTCTTCTTGACACTGACCAACAGCTGTACGCTCTCATCCATAGACAGATAAGTTTCAACGTTTCCCCAAAATAACCTCTTAACTTCAGATTATCAAACGGACTGCTCTTCTGAGCGCCCTTTAGCATACAACGTACTTACTTATGTCCTTTGCTAACAGTACTTATAATGCGTAGGTAGGGTACTGATTAGTTGGTACCAGTGCCGATTAATTTACGTCAGGCCGGTCATGTATTAGTTAATAACAATAAAACCAGCCTCTTACAACCTGATCGTTATTTAAGGATGCGGACAACTATGGCCAATAAATGATGGCATGAGTTCCTTAGTTGCTGATAAGTGACTAACAGAACTGCAAAAACAGTGAAGAAATTGAAAATCTCATTGTTTTGTCATACTGATTATTCTTCAGTTCCATCAAACTGTGAAACAGTTACCATTACTATCTACGGTCCTAAGGATCATAGAAACAGTCCTGTTAAATATAATTTCTTTTAAGTTACGAAATTAGAGTTTATGTTCTTCTTGATGAACTGGAATTATCATGATGATTTAAAAGAAATAATACTTGTATGCTCCAGCTAACACCTCAATTATCCTAACTAACAAATGTTACCAGGAATCAAAAAGAATAATTTCGACATGCCGTATGCTTCTGTTTCAAATTAGTTATAGTCTTCTCAACTTAGGTAACAGTTCGAAATGATCAAAGACTGCCTCTGCACCAAACATAAGGAAAAGTAATTTCAAGGTGACTACTAAAAGTCATATTATGTAAGCTATATTACAAAAGTACAGTAAAATGAATTGCCGAAAATAATTTGCGCAAGCGTATCATGAGAGAGGAATAGCCAACAACGTTGTTCATCTTAAGTAGGTATATAAAATGGTTTAACTTGTCCTATAATATCATTAGCTAATGTGCTCATACATCAATTTATTGGCAGTGAAATTTAAAAACCCGCCAAATTACTTATAGCAATATCCTGCATACATAACAGGTCACAGTTGAGACGTCAAGAAAAAAACGAACTGTGCTGCAGCTCGTCCTGTACCACTGTATGGCTGTGAAACATGGCCATTAAAGGGATGGAATATGAGAAAACTTCAGGAGCTCGACCACCGTTGTGCATCGTGCATCGCCAAGTAACGTAAAAGTCAGGTGTAGAGTTTTAGGCAGGAGTGGGAAGTTAGTTGATACGGTCATAGACTTTCATCGACTGAGATGACTAGGACGTAACACAAACGCCCAGTTACCGTCTGTCTCGCCGCTCAATGTTACATAAAGTAGGTTCAGTCTGGAAAAGGCTCGAGATGGCCTAATTAGAACATGGCACCACTGCGTGAAATCTTTGACTGCTGGTCTGAGCCATTTAGGGATGTGCAGACTAACCTGTTGGGATCCATGTGACAGCAAAAGTCGGTGGCTGGAAACACTACGCGATATAGTTCAGAATCGATCTCAGTGAAGCACTTGTCACCATACATTATCATAATCACCATACTGAATTCAGGGTTTTCTCACTCCTTCTTTCTCTCTTTTACTGTCTCTGACCAATTCTCCTTTATTCCTTCCTCTTATTACTTTGTTACTTGATGTGATGATATGTAGTGCGACAACCTGAACCGTTACGCAGTAATACTTGGTCCTATGTTGATGATGATAACGGTCAAAAAGGAGTATGAAACAATGCACCAAACAAACCTCGACTTCCAATAGTTTCTGGGATGAAATCCGTTTATGGTATCGAAAATCTGACGTGATGAGTATCTAAAGACCAAACAATACGATAAACGATAATGCGAATGGCGAATTCCAAAAGGCCTCAAATAAGTTTTGGGCATATATGACTAGGAAGGATGTAATACATTCATTTCTCACGAAATCCTGTAAAAACTCATTTCTGAAGTATCCTCTACCCGAAACAAATGCGAGCACCAACCAAGTAACAGTGAATAACCTTAACTTCACCACCACTTTGTTCTAACTTGCTGAAAGTCCGATCAGGTTGCATGCGATTTTTAACTCACCACGTCTTCTGTCATATATATTATCATTCACTGTGGGCATGACTTCATATTGAAGTTAGTGGTGATGTTGTTGGCCAGAAGGACAATAAAAGCTTCATGATTAAACCATCCAGCTCAGAGAATGCAATACAGACAAGATCAAGCACCTGAGCTACAAATGTTTTCCACTATTTCAAAATCATACGAGAGTAACGCGCTTCGCGCTGTTCGAAGATGGGAAGACTTCTCCAAGTGGCAAGATCCCACAGAAGGAAAACTATTCTTTTTCTATGAGTGTCCATATCTGCATGTTCTGCAGAAGAGTGTCAAATATAAACCCTTGATTGACTGTTCAATGAGATGGAAAATAGCTGAACAAAGAGGAAGACCAATGGTACAATCGTTGGTCTTTTTTTCTACTCACTGAACTACTTTGACTTTAGTGGCAATAGGATGAAATCGGAACATAGCAACCCGTCATAATAGGAGTAAGTAGAAGCAATCGAGGTTAATATCAGTAACAGCAATACACCATCAGGTCGAGAATGTATCAACCTCACTCCCAATAGCTGCTAAGTAGTATAATCTTTGCTTTAATATTATGGCAATAACCTTCCCCTGTCCACCTTTACAGGATTTATTTCACTGGAAAAAAAAAGATAACGAATGATTTAGTAGTTACATTCAACGTTCCCGTAATATATATACTTGTCAACTAAATGATGAAAACAACTTTATGACAATACGAAAGTATATGAGAAATTGTTAACACTGAAAAGAGAATCCTTTCAACCTTTTCACTGAAACGTCATATTCGTCGTGGAGGATGCGAATTGGTGTATTATTAGCAATGGACAAAGCAGAAAACAGAAAGTCTTAGATTCTAAATGAGAATGAAGCAAAAACAAAAAATAGACGGAAATATGTTAAGAAATGCATAATTTTATTTCATGAGAAGGATGAGACGACAAGAAACAACGGAGAAAAAAATAATTCACTCATCTCACACATTCAAATAAGGCAAGAAGATATACGAATTGTGAGAAGTGAAACAGATTGATAGACAGGAGGAATGTAACCACTCTGGTATAGAATAAACAATCCAACAAAAAAATTAGGCGCGTGGTTATTGCATACACAAAAACGACAACATATGGTATTACAAAATAATGACAACAATAAAATAATCGAGATGTAAGACGATTTTCACAATAGACTGCTGTTGTTTTACGCCAGTTCTCAAGAATACAATATTGAAAATACTGACTCCTTTGTTATTTAGTTTTATTATTTCTGAGATGATCTATGAGGCATTTGATATTAGTGAATGAGTACATCATGTCTTCTTAAAAGGCTAACTTAGTACCTAAGAGAAATCAGGTTAATTAATAACATACAGAGCATATAAAGATATGCAGATATATGTGTCACAACTTAAAACCTGTGTACAATGTTTCTTACTACTTCTGAAAAGGTGAACAGATTTCATGAATAGATCTGCATAATTCACAGCCAAATAAATGATAACACCAGTTTTTATACTTAGAGTTCATGATAAATGATGCTGATAATATTGTTCTTCGTGTTGTTCATGACGATGACAATAATGAAAACTGATTTAAGCGACAATAGCAGCAAGGAGAGGCAGACTGAACCTAGAGGTAATTGTAATCGAGAAAAATGTTCAACTCACTCCCATATATGCAAAAATATAAGCAAGTACATGTAGAGGCATACGTTATGATTGCCGACAAAAAAAAAAACACAACTGTTGTTACAATCCATAAGAGGTAGGAAGAAGTAGATAATATAAGGAAACAAAAAAAGGTAAAAGAGAATGTTTAAAACACTGGTGTTACCTAGAAACAATTTAAATCAAACCATGAATAATAATGATGAAACGTTATTGATTTAAACTGTTGTCAACAGAAAAGTTAAACTCAGGCATATATTGGGATCGTGTACCGCATCCATCAAGGGAAAAATAACAATTATTATTATTACTATTATAGGCATGACTGTCTCGAAAACGAATTTCTTTTGGATTAGTCGAACCACGCATTTGTCTAAGCTTTTCTTGCTATAAATATAAATTAAACATAATAATAGTGATAATAACAGCAATATGATAAGTAGTGAACAAGGTTGGAATAGTGAAAAATGCATGGGACTTTTATTACATAATGTAGGAAACTTTCATTTTCGTTTATAATTACTTCACTAACACATCAAGTCAAGAAACTCCCCACAACTGTATATAGCAGTACACTATAAGGAAAGTTAATTAGACGACTTCTAATTCGATCAACAGAATGCTCATATCACATGAATGGTCAAATGAAACATATATTCAAGCGATAAGGACATAAATAAAAAGGAAGTAAACAAAACTAGATCTCAAGTCACCATGATAAGTTATAAAACCACCCCAGCTGACTTTCTGACGGTTTTGCTGATGATGCTGTTTAAAAAGACAACGAACGCTTCACCTCAGAAAAAGTAACATAGAGAAAAATAGTCGTAATATTACAAATTTAGAGACTTAGAAAACAACTAAAAAAGAAACTTCTTTGCCGGGGTAATTTTTTTTCTTTACGATCCATAGGAAACGGTTATTGGTGCAAAATATTGATTCTGTGTAAATGCTTTCAACTATCTACTAACATAATATTCAGTTTCAAGTAATATGATGAAAAAATCTAAATGCACTCAACTAACTTGTGCACGTACCCATACCTATTGCATGAGCACTAATGATATCACCTGGCTGCTAAAACTATGGCAAGTGGATCAAGGTTCGAACCCGAGACACACCGATTGGAAGTCAAGTGCCTAAACTGATGAGCCACAGCTCCACTAGTAATATGGTAAACTTTGAAATAAATACTACTGGATAGGAGTAGAGCATTAATTCTTTAATTAAATAATGCTACACTTACATCATAAAAGAAACGACAATCTTTTATCTAAGAGATGAAAACGCAAAAGGTGAATAAGCATCACTTCTGTTAACTGCATAATATTATGGTTGTCAGCAACTTAATGATTATCAATCATACGCCTGAAACACCGTTACCAATTTCGGTTAAGGAGATATGTATGTAACTAGGAGATATCATTGAAATATGAACAACAACTTGTATTTGAGTGGCAAACACCACATTGTACAAAATAAGCAAAGGTCAAAATATGAGATGTGATACGATGCACATTCTGAGATATAATCTACCCTAGTGTAGAGTGTTGAGATGGAAAATAATTCAGAGAAAATACACAACAGCCAGGTCAAAACACAATGTTACACTATGATATCTACCACTCAGCCGTTCGCTGTTGTACTAAAGAGAATTACAACCTATTTAGATGATGCACGTGTAACAATACCGATCAGCGGCTGATCGTATGGCCTAAATCTGAACACAATGGACTAAAAATACCTACTATTTGTTTCCTGAATAAATTGTGAACACAATGCTGCTGAATATATACACTAGTTTCATGTTCTCATTATACTGAGTGCCAATGAATCTTCGCTAGTTTGATTTTGTGCCACTAATAAGTGTACGGTATACAGGCAGGCAACATTTTACACAATACTGTCGTTCTGTTGTACCAAATAAACAGAAAATTAAATAAAGCACACTAGGATCAACTAACCTGCATATAAAACACCTTACTGTTAGGGTTTCCTGGAAGCGTTGACATTGATTGGGCCTTTTTCATGCTGTAAACACACAAGGGCATCATACATACACAGGTTATTGTATTGTTGACACGCGCAAACATCAAACAGTTTGCCAGATTTCGAAAAGGGAAAAAAAGTGGAAAAAAAAGCAACATCAATAAACAAGAATATGTATTGAGAAAGAGATAAATAGACAATGTACTATTTATCATTACATTTACAAATAGTAATAAAAATGGCATTGCTGCTAATCATTTATGGCATGAATCACTTATAGCAATGTGCTGATAACTGCATGTTGCACAGATATATTTATCCGTAAATTTTTACACAACGAAAACGATCCATAATAGTAAAGTAGTAGCAGTAGTAGGGGCAGGAAGACGGATATTATGGTAATGATGAAGATTGCGATTAGAAGAGCATTAGATAAAAAATAATTGAGGAGTACACATGTAGCTTTTAAAAAAATCTCCATGTCAACAACAAACATGCTGACAGCCTAATTATGAGTGACATTTAGCTTCGATTCATTTCTATATTTTAAAGAATGTGACAGTGACTAAGTGAATTGACTCTCTAGTGCTCTTATTTGCTCAAAGTAAAGAAAATAATGTGAAGCTATTCACATTAACTATTAAACTTGGTCATACAGGCATGAAAGATTATTTTCCTGAACTACACGTATAAATCGTTCAACTGATGTCAACGACATTCGATTAGGAAATAGGAAATAAACCAGCCAATCATATTGACTGCTTAGATAAGCTCATCAGTTGTATCATTCTTCCTAAACTAATTCAGTGTAATCTTTACTAGTAGACGGAAAATAAACACGATGTTGTAGTCCCCTTGATGACTCACAGTGGGATCCAGGATGCGTGCTTCGTCCTACTTGAGACTCACCAACTGGACGCATCATCACCCCAATGAGATTGAGCAATCTGACTCTGCATACCAACGGGAAATTATAAGTATTAATCAATAAAAAGTGACATTCGTTGCACAAATGGTGGCTATCGTTCCCCCAGTGGCCTATTTGATAACGCTTTGGCGTTTGAAGCGATGGATATTGCGTTCGAGTATTAGTGGGATCAATATCACTGACTGGGTTATAGGTACATGCGGCTGACGAGTCCTAAATAAGACAAAACGAGCATCCTGGGTTCCGCTACGAGTCACCAAGTAGACTACAACATCATATCCGCAGTATCAAGGCATCCGAGCATCCAGAGATTCAACTCTGTATAGAAAAAGGAAATTACAAGTATCGAACAACAGCGAAATAAATACATTCGCTGCATAATGGTTTTACCAAACGACTGGTTTGAAGCCCCCGAAAGTTAATGAAATGCAAAGGCTACACATGTAATTTTCTCTTAGAGCCTACAAATCACTATTCTTGTAAGATTTTACAACGTCAATCCTCAAAACATAGACTTATGCACACAAAAACATGTTCATTGTACTCCCTAATTTACAACTACATAAATAAAGTAGATAATAAGGAAGGATAAAAGCAAATTGTTCACTAATTAAGAAAGGCAGCAGGAAGTAAAACTGAAAGGAAACTATAACTGTGTAATAAAAACGGTGTTCTTAACAAACAACTATTTTATATATATGTACACGAAAGCTTTCATAAGAAAATATCATCATATAAATAGATTCACCAAAAGTTGAATCATCCATTTACCAAAGCGAATTTCGGTTAAACTGCTCAATCATACACTGAAACTGTGATAGATCATGTATGGGTATAGATATGCAGTGCAGCAAACAGCAGCTCTACACTAAGGCTAAAGTTTTTATCACAAACCGTTAAGTGCAAAAAATAGGATTGAAGGATAGGCTTGGCACTGGGGAAAGCTAAGCTACCTGAAAAACCCTCGAATAGGATGAGGAAGTGATCGTCTATTCATGGGATAACCATTTGGAGGACCAAGAAGACTACGTGAAGAAGTGATCAAAGATCTATCTTCAACACGTTGATATGAATAACGTGGATAGGTTCGTTTAGGATAATGATCGTTGTTTGGAAGTCGTGGATTATGTTCCAATTGATCACAATTCTAATTTAAAAATGAGAAATTGTAAACATACTCAAATATAATAGTAAAAGAAGATCTAACGAAAAAGGAGGGAAGTGTGTGATTCAATTCTAAGTTTGAATAGTAGACATTCCGAAAAAGTTACTTTGTGTATCCTCCGTGAAAATATTCCTCTCTTACCCAATGGATCGAATAATGTAGTAGTACATGGTAATATATTAACAACCACTAACATAGTGGATGAGCCATTTATTATTTTAATGAGTCTTGCAGTTGAAGAATTACTACAAGTAAATATTGACAATTCATTGTTACTCCTAAAAAAACAACTATGTTCTATAAACCAATAAAAACCAATTCTAATCGCGTAACCAGTTGCATAACAGTGATAAGTAACGTTAATATTTCTAGAAAACGAATGAATCAACACAAGTAGACTGAAATATAGAGATGAAAAATAGTAACTAGTTTTCTGAAAACTGAAGATTATGTAATCCATACTTTTCAGAACAAAATCAAAGTAGAATCTTGCACACAAGTGCATCGCCTCAAGTTGCCACACTTCACAGTAGTACATAAAGAACAGGTGGATTGAAAACGAGATAACAAAGTAGTGTGAGGGAATACAAAATTAGAAGATAAACGTTAGTGCAAATATCCAAGCTTTGGCAGGATGTCAAAGTGAATACATCTACGCCATTGTGACCAATTTCAGCCATGTCACCAAAGTTTTTAACCATTGCTTCCTATTATCTCGAGTACTACAGTCAGGTAGTCTACGTCTCCAAATACAGCTCAGACCAACAGTTAGGATTTCATCGACTGGTGCCACGTCTTGCTATGACCACCCTGAACCCTTTTTCATCCTAATCCAACTTCCCCTAATATGGCCCATCGAGGCAGGCGGTGGATCGAAATGCGTTACACATTTCTACGCCGCTTTAAACGATGAAGGTTCACAACCTTATCAATCGACTTGCCTGTCTTGCCTAGCACCCTTTGCCTGATGTTAACATTACTCGTATAGTGATTCCACAAAATGTGAGCAATACTACAAAGACACCTGTGATCAAAAACCTGTAACTTTATCACTTCTAATTTTAACGACTATATCTCATAGCCGTATACAGGACAGAACGGACTGCAGCGCAATTTTTGATAAAGTCAGATATTTCGCCAGTCAGCGCCGCAGATGATGTAAGTTGGCAAATACTTTTACTAATATATATAAGCCAGATATCAAGAATATTTCGTAAATTCACGCGAAATTTAGTTGTAATAAAATTAAAATCCTGGTGTGAATTGGATCGCAAATTTTAATATGACTATCTACATCATAACCGACTGGTTCAGATCATCAATTCTTAATTACTAAAACTGGAGGACTACTTTTATATGAGTAATTGGGTACAAACTGTGCAACCTCGTTCTCGAGCCATCGTCATAAGATAAGACAACCATTTTTATGGGAAGACTATAAAAAATGGATTATACTAGTACGATGCAAATAAAATAATTGGATATCACTCATTAGTGAAGAAATCTGGTGTTAACGAAAGATGTAGAAATCGCTACAGAACTGAAGCTATCCAAGTCGCGATATTTAACAATAGAGCACAAAGAGGAAATGAGTAATATTGGAATAAACAAGGATACAATATGGGAGGGAATAAATAAAAGCCAATAGATAGTCTAGAATTTCGAAGATATTAAAAAGTGATGGGTTCATATCTACATCACTGAGCTTTTGGTCACTGACTTCTGATTTCGTCAGGACGTTATTCAGACACCAGTCAGAGACTGCACACACTGAACTATTATAACTGGGTCTTACCAACCTTAGTTTATTCCACATTAATCTTAACAGTTTAACAATCTCACAGACTTACTTATTTCCCTTAGCAAAAGCTGTACACCTCAAAGCAAAATTGTTAACCCCGTAGTTCTAACGCACCTTAACAATAGTAGCAATGGTTGAAAACTTGTACGTTCTTCATGATTTGAATTTTCACTATTCATGTCTCACGGCTGTTAAGTAAGAGAGAGTAGACTCCAGCACATTTCACTGGCAGCATAGATGTTTTATGCTGGTAACAAATACCAAACACACCTTTTTGTATCCATGCTGTTTTTTCGGCAAACAGACTTCCAAAGGCCGATGTAAATTCTTGAATGCATAAATCGGTTCTGATTGTAGTAAGTAGATTATGGGCATGTAAGAGCCTATGGCGAGTTGTCCAGGGAGCTATACTCATCAGTGGTGTCCGTCAAGGATGCCCACTATCCCCATTGTTATTTAATTTTATCATAGATATTCTTATGGAGGTTTCCCTCTCGTCACCTAATTACACAGACGTTGACCTAATTGGTGGTGAATTTTTGTTAGACCTAGAATATGCAGATGACATAGTCCTGTTAGGTGAAGACGCTGACAAGATGCAGAGTCTTCTGAACACTTTGAGTGGGAATTTGAGAATGTTTGGGATGCGATTTTCACCACCCAAATGCAAATTTTTGCTCCAGGACTGGTCTTCAGCGGTACCGCGGCTAACAATAGAGAGTGAAGTGGTTGAGTGTGTTGACCACTTCACTTACCTGGTAAGTAGGATCAACCCTGGTGGGTTAGTTGCCGATGAAATTTCTGCACGGATACAAAAGGCTCGATTGGCTTTTGCCAATTTACGCCACCTATGGCGCCACCGTGATATTCGTTTGTCTATTAAGGGTCGCGTGTACTGCACAGCAGTCCGCTCTGTTCTACTGTATGGTGTGAAACATGGCCATTGAAAGTGGAGGATACAAAAAGGCTTCAGGTGTTTGACCACAGTTGCCTTCGTAGTATAGGACGTATTCCGTGGTGTCACCATGTGAGTAATGCAGAAGTTAGGTGTAGAGTTTTGGGGAGAAGAGGTAAGTCAGTCGACGAGGTTGTGAACCTTCATCGACTGAGATGGTTGGGACACGTACTACGTATGCCTAGTCACCGATTGTCCTCGTCACACAATGTTCGCTGAGGTGGGTCCAGGCTGGAAAAAGGCCCGAGGTGGCCAGACTAAAACATGGCACCAATGTATGAAGTCTCTGACTGTTGGTTTAAGCCATGTAGGACGATGCAGACTAGGTGGTTGGGGCCCACGGGACAAGAGGAACCAGTGGTTGGAGACCCTAGGTGATATGGCTCAGAACCGAAGTCAGTGGTGCAGATGTATACACACATTATCCTCATCTTAACAACGCTATACCGAATCTCACCATTTTGTCACTCCTCTTTCTTTTCTTCTTGTACTTTATATTTCTTTTGACTGCATTCACTTATCTTCATCCTTCGCCTCACTACCTTTTTACTTGATGTGCTGATATGAGGTATGGCAACTCGGACCGTTACGCAGTAATGCCTGGTCCTATGTTGATAATGATGATGATGAAGTAGATTATGGAAAGGGAATAGTTACTGCGTTTAGACTTCTGTTTATTTTTATTTCTCCGACTGAAATTGTAACCAACCAATGACAGTCTGTATGCCGTACATTTAGTCATGAGCGTAGTGGGAATTCTTACAACACAACAACTTAGCACCCAACAAATTTAACTGTTGGAACTCCGAACCAGTCTACCAGAGAAACGTGGATGAGGCTAACTATTTGTAGGGTTCAAAGGCATCAAAACTCGACTGCTAGGGCAGAATCGTACGGCATAACACTATGCTTAAATTGCTCAAATACACATTGTATGTCAGCTGTACAAAATCCAAATAAACCCATCACCCATATTAGATTTATTTATTTGATATAGCCTACAATGATACAGTTTAATTTATGCTTGAAATGTTATCAAGTAATACTGTATCACAGTGTGATATATCAAATAAACAAATCAAATATAGAATAACATTTTATTATAGTTTTGAACTTATATTAATCAAAACTGCTTCCCAACAGCCTTAAATGTCTGTTTCGATACAATCGACATCATACTCAACGATCAGTGAGTTTAATATTATGAATGAAAAGGCTAACTCTTTTATAGGTAGGACAAACAAATTCATCACTATTTCCACTACACCGTTTTGTGCTGTTCTATTCCAACTGAAAATTACACTATTTTTTATCCTTGTTGACTTGATTCAGAAGCAAACAAACTATTAGTCTTATCGGACAAAAAACTTTAAAACTTCTGATTGTAAAGTTTACAATATAGTAGCATCAAAATGGTTCTCAGATAGGCATTCCGTACTCATCAGTACACGTTGAAAACATTAGATGAGTTAACCATTCCCACTAACTATGAATACCTTATAGTTTTGACTGAATACAAGTGATACTACTCACATGTTACCAGGGTAAAACCTTTTAGCACTAAAAATCTTTTTACAAGAGATGACGTGACTTAACAAAACAATAAGTGAACCAGTTTCTCTGTCAATTATCAACATATACTTAAGTGACTATTTAAAGCAAAATCTGTCACGTAAATACAAAGGTATGAAGTCGATTATATAAAATGTTGATTTATGATATGCATTTTGTCTCCTATAGTGGTTGATGGTTTAAAAGAATTTTTCAACATTTATTCAACCTAAAATGATATGGTACATAAGTCATGTGTCTATTTTCGTTGAAAACTTACCAGGGGGATAAGGTTTACAAACTTCGCCAATAGAAAAAAAGGTTGTCTAGAATATATACCCACACAGTATCATAACTTTCTCTGCGTCTCCTAAGAAAACATTTGCATACTTTTCTCGACCACTGTTACCACTTTAACCATAATCCTGAATTTTTGATTTTCTTCTGTTGTACTCTGACATCGGTTATTATTCGTTTGTAAAGCTTAATTTCTGTTAAGTTAGCGACATAAATGTTTATCACATGTAAACACCTGAATGTTTCAATAAACAGTACGAAGCCTTTATATTATAAGTACTCAACGGGTTTTGCTAAACTTTTCGCATACTAATATTATCTAATAAAAATATATGATTCACTTATCGGTTAGAAATCGAATCGAAATGAACAAAGTAA